TTAGATAGTCAATTTAAACAAAAAAAAAATAGGCATATTTTAAAATTCAAAAAACTAAAAGAACTATAGTCATATGGAATGCATGCTTTAATAATTCAATTGTCTGGCATGTTAACGACAAACAACGGTCTACAACAAATTTCCAACATTGTCTAGAGCAAGTAAAAGTATTTGTTACTATTATTTTTTTCAAATTATCAAGTACTGAAAGTATTTTTTTAATTATTTCGTACAAATGATGAAGTAATTATCATAAATTTAGGGAAGAAAAAATGTTGAAAGGGAAATTACAGTACATGAGAAAAAACCTGCTTTTGTTTTTGTTGCTCGAGGATTTCTTGAATCTGAGGAAAGTGAAAATCTTTCTTTTTTTGTTGGAACCATGAATTCTATTTTTTTATTGTCCAGGAATATATGATCGAATCTAATTGTTCAAAATTCACAGAGAAAGTAAATATGCAAACAATAATAGTAAGTTGCCAGCATTGGGAATGGGAAAATAGTTGCTCATATCATCTTTCGGCAACCATAATTTAAAACATGACCATTCATACTATATGTTCCCCATGTATTTTTTTGTTCATACATACTAGGTAATATGCTTTTTGTTCCATAGAGGCGGAATCAAAATTTAAATTTTATAATTTTAATATTTATTTATGTTCAATGAATTTCTTAAGATAAATATAGTGTTTGAACTAAAGATACTAAATTCAATTGAATTTGTGATCTATAATCTAGCGCCGCTCCTATTACTTCACCTTCATTCTATGCATGTTCTTTCATTTTGGCATTTATAAACGTCAGTAACCGTGGATATTTATCGTTCATTTCATAGTGATTTGACAAGTTTTCAAATACCTACTGTCAAAACGACTACCTACGAAAGCTTAGACAAATTTAAAAAAAATCACTAAATTTTTCTGTCTATTAGAATTTCCAAGGTTTAAAAATTCACATTATTGAATATTAATTCACCCTTTAGTGCTAACTAATATGAGTTTACTAAAATTAGAGAATACTACACTTGAGTAACATCACGCTGAAATTTTAATTAATTTTTTTTTAAAAAAAGGTTTAAACGGTATTGAGTTACTCCACCAATTACCTTGAAATTTATGCTCAGATTCTTTCATGTCATATCCACTAAACTTGTTTATCAATTGAACCCACATCAAGCTACTAATAGTACTCGAGGCACCATAGCCAAACCTTTCTTTTTCTAGTTGGATCTCCCAAGTTATTAAAATGCTCCAAATTCGACTTAAGCATCTAAATCTGGGTCAATACCTATACTTTCTTCATATCCTACCGATTTGAGCTTCTCTAACTTTCAAATCAATCCATTGAGCTACTAATATTTCTCCACGCTCACTGTTAGTCAGATGAGCTAGTCTCTTTCCCCTCTCTCTCTATATATATACACACTCCAAAGTTACTCCTATTGAGCTTTCTCTTTCCCTCTACTTCAGAAGAGAAAAAAAATTTCACATAAACACCCTATAACAGGTTGTTTGAACACATGTGATAAAGGAAAGTTGCACCTATTTGGCGTTAGTTGTGTAAGAATTAACCAAGGAGATTGAAATGGTACCATCAATTGAATTAAGCGTAGCGTAGGTTAAGATTATATGTGGAACATACGACAAGTAACGTTTCACTTTTTCTTTGAAATCATATGGAAAAAATGAAAATGAGTGGGAAATGCGCAGTATAACAAATTAATATGCGAAGTAGCATAGCTCTAGAATGAATTCATGAGTTACTATCTAAACTCTCACGGAAGGTTCGATTCTCAACCTTGTAATTATCTCCCTCATTTCCTTTTCCCCTCCCCACTATGTAAACTTAAAAAAAAATCAATTTAGAAAATGCTATCTACAAGCACATGCAATCAAATTCCTAAGTTGAAATAATGAGCACTAACATGAGACAGTTCATGTGGACTATGGTCCAAAAAAAATGTACTCGAACAAAAAGGAATAGCCCTTAGGTTGAATAATGGTTTCTTATATCTAGACCAGACAAGGCCAGTGCTGGACCAAACCAGGGAATTTCATTAAACATAAAATGAAAAAATATTCATTGCACTTTTAACCTTGGTCTAAATAAATTTTAAAAAGAAGAAAAGAATTCCATTACAATCTATGTTGCTTGGACTTTTCAAAAATAATTATCAGATTCGCTGTATTTTTAAGAATCCAACACGAGTGCAGCATCAAAAGCGAAGAATCCGTGACAACATTAACAATACAACTAATGGATCCCCAATGGGTTTATTATAATATATATATATATATATATATATATATATATATATATATATATATATATATAAACACATAAACAACAGTTTTACGTACACAATACAAGTTGATATAGATCATCAACCTTTTTACTAAAGTTCCTACGTCAAACAGGGAGTTTTAAGAGCATTCATATATACCATTATGAATTTATGATACAGCACATAGTAGAACTGGACCATAATTCATAAATACAAGTAATTATATATTTAACTCATGTTGTCTCCTTCAATTGCAAAATGCATACTCATTTATTTAAAAATTCAAACAATAGCAATTAATGACCAATTAATATTTGTCATCATAACAAGAAAATGGATAGAGAGGTAATCTCTGATAGACCTCCGACTAACATTTTTTAATCTTCTTAATTTATGAGATATTTTCACAGAAAAATAGAAGGATTATATAATTAGCACATTTTCTTCATTATATAAAAGCAATAGTGACAAAAAGAGAAGGAGAAAGTGACAATATATATATATATATATATATATATATATATATTACCTGTACAGAAATAAGACGTAATATAATTAAACATTTGCTGTATCCTTTGAAGTCTTGGGACATATACATTTTTTTCACACTTGTACGTCTTTTCTTATCTAAAAAAACGAAAATACTGCTCATCTTTTTGTTTTTCTGTTCTAGTAACTTCTCCTTAAATTGCTTCTAATTAATGTTCGAACCATTAAATAAACCTATCAACTAATTAAAACCAACGGAAAATTAACTTTTCCAGCTAAGAATACGGTTATTTTCGCTCATAGAGACAAGGTCATTAAAATAAGGTGGTTACTAAATCAATGTGTATGTGCATATATTATTGTTGTTTTAATATTTCTCTGTCCAAATTTATATGACACATCAAATTTAGTTAGATAATACTACAATTAGTTGGAATTAGGACTATTCTCTAACCCAAGTGAAAGGTTTTAGCTTCATTAACTATATTAAAGACATAATTTACTAATAATGCTTAGGATAATCAAAATCTCAACTGAGAAGAATGTAGCTATAATATTCACTTACCAAACTTACGTGAAAGTACTTGCTCCTTTTCATTCTGTTCTTTCTATAAAAAAAAAAATGATACTCCTCTATCTCAGTTAATGTGATATTTTTCACTTCTTGAGATTTAAATTATGGGAAGTTTAACCAATAATATTCAAAAATGTATTATTTTTATCCTGGTCACATGTGAAAAATTGCAACTTGAAGTACTTCTCATATAATTTTTTAATATTTAAATTACAATTTTATTTTAAAATATTGAATTGATGTACTCCAATTTAAATTCAAATTTAACTTTAAATTCCTTATTTTATCTTTACTGACATATATTTATAGGCACATCAATGCCACAACTAAAGACAATAATTCTAAGTTTTGTTTTTTCTTAAACTTCATGCCTGATCAAACAAACTCATCGAGTAACATAACAAATAATTGGAAGAATTGGCAAAGATGCAACAGAAGAGATAGTAGAAATCTGGAAAATGACAGACTGAGAGGAACAAAAGAGGCCTTTCAATGTAATTCAGATCAGATAGTAACAGGCAACAGCAGGTCAGAAAATTTGCAACCAAAGGGAATCTATTGAATTTATCTGTTGCACACAGTTTACAACAGAAGTAAACATTGACAATGAAAACAGTAAAAACCTTGATGTATATATATTGTGTACGTAAATGCTCTTTAAATTCTTTTTTTTTCTCTCTCTCTTTACTTTATGCCACTTAATTAATTTTAACTTAATGCGTCTGCCAATGCATTTAAACCAAGCCTGAACCAATCAAAAGCAGCAATCCATATCTTACATGCAAATCAAATCTCTTAGATACTCAAAAGCTAATTCAAGATACAACGGACATAACATAGCAACAAGCCAACAACACATAAAATTCTCTTCTTTCCACAGAGTTTTAACACAGTACGTACTGTAAGTCTAACAAAATTTACTTTGTCACCTTTTTTTTTAAATTCAAGATTCACATGTCAATTATATGCAGGCTTTATAGTTAGCATAAATAGGTAACCTATAAACTAATAAATGAGTAATTAATACGTAAAAATAACATGATAGTGTATATGAATATGTTAAACTCTTTACCATACACATATGAAGAGAAGGTAGAAAATGTAGATTAATTAACCAAGGAAGAAATACCTCCTTGAGTGTCAGTCACTACATCGCAAAGGGTTGAGTGTGATGGATAAGATCTCATCACCCTTAGCTAATGAGGTTTCAATTTCATGAGTTGTAAATAGAAAAATGCTTTTCTGTTCAAAGAATCGTATGTGTTGCAAACTTTGCTTAGTCGAGTCCATAAGTTGATACTACAATTACTATAAAAATTAGTATCATGAAAGATGGCAGGCAATACTACACGTTTGTGGAGAAGAAAAAGGTGTTATATTCAAAACACAACTTAGTTCTTTGATCATGAGAGGAACTTTGAAAACATGTCATTTGAAATTTACAATTTCCGAAATTGACCAAGTGAAAGTCAAACGAGAAAATAGTCTGGAAAGAATTAGTTGTAACAGCTATAGCATAAAACAAAAGGACAAAAATCAAACATTACAGCTCAAAGGGAGAGAGAGACCTTATAAGAAATTCCATGAGAATTAATGGAAATAATCCAATTATGATTGAAATTAGAACTTGAAAACTCCCCCTCCATTCTTTCAATTTGCTTCTATTCCAACCCCACCCCTAGAATTTTTCAGCCTTAACGACTACTTACTAACATAACTGTATCTCATTACAGAGTAAAAAGTCAAATGTCAATTTTTTTCGGTGTAGAAGAATATTGAAGCTCATCAAGATCTTGGAGGTGGAAAGAATTGCGTACCAGCCATGAAAGTGTTGAGAGGAGCTGGATATAATGAAGGATCCAGATAAGGTGAGGCTTCGGGTGCTGCACCAGCACCGCCACCACCACTCGTAGCAGCTGACGTGGCGGTGCCGGCAGCACCAATAAGGTTATGTTGGTGACTAGCACTTCCGCCACCGGATGAGCTTTCACCAGCAGCCATGTACTGATTCTCCGGACCTTGATCATATAGAATTCCTTTAAACACGTGGCCACCAATGTTTACGGCTGTTTGATATGCGAATTGATCATCGGCATCGTCAACGGAGCTCATTCGAACGCAGTGAAATACGGCATTTGAAGTTACTTTTGCTGGAAAATTCCCCACTTCTAACCCTAACCACATCAAAAACAAATTGAAGTAAGTTTAATTGGTTCGAGAAGAATTTGCGTAAAATGAGGTAAAAAGAGAGGCATGTGGCTACACAGATATCAATAGCATAAAGAGAAGAGAGAGAGAATAGCGTCTTCTTTGTCAGGATTACCAAAACACAGTGATGAGAAGTTTGAAAGATGAGAAAAAGCAAAAGCTGTGGTTTTACTATTTAACTACAATGGAAGCTCGTTTTTGTCTTTTGTACCCAGATTCCTTTTGTGTCGAGAGTCTATCGCAAACAATCTCTGTCATGTACTCTCCCAGAATCCAGTCTTAAAATTATACTATTGGGTATGTTTGTTTGTTGTTGGGAACTCTTTTTTTTCTTCTTCATAGTTTTCATTATGATATTTTGTGAATTACTTTGTACGAATGTTAAGCTTTTAGTCCTTTATATGAAATTCTTGAGTGTATATATATAGATATTTCTGTGTATAAGGAATTAGGAAAGACAAAAAAAGTTTACCAGAAGTACTGGAAGGTAATATACGAGTGCATACAAGAGAGGAAGCACTTGGATCCTCTCTTTGCCTTTTGGGGTTATCTCTGTGCAGCTGCAGCGTTTGCTGCTGCTGCTGCTGCTGTTGTTGTTCTTCTTCTTCTTGCTGTTGCTGTAAAGTAGAAAGCTGTTGTTGCCTTTCTCTCCTTTTAGCGGCTGGAACCCAAGTGCTTCTCACATGGGTTTGGCACTGCAAGCCTCGGCTCTTGCAACAAGTCCTACATCTCATGTGGGTACAATCTTTCTTCGCTTGATTACCACAATCTTGGCAGCTAATTCCCCCTCCTCCACTCCTCATCATCACCAAACCCGATCCTCCTCCTCCCGAAGGAGGGTCGTGATCGGGCCGAGCCACAGTAGGATAACCGCTATGGCTCGGCCCGATACCTAATCCCACAGCCGTTGTAGGATAAAGATCTTGAAGCGGATTAATTGGATGGCGAATCTGAGGTTGGGAATTAGTGTTTTGCCATAACTCAAAACCTCTGTAGGTTGTGGGCAAATCTTGATGATGATCATTTCTGTACAAAAACCAATTACTTTCTGGAGCAATTACAGTAGGAGGATTATTGGTGGTCTCCTGCTGATCTTGGCTGGTACTTGCTGCTCCACCACCTAGTGAAAAGAAGCCAGCCATTTTGTTGCCTCCTTTAAGCCTTTTCCAAAATTCAATTGTGACTGACAATCCATAGCAGATCACGAACACTGGGTTTGATTATGACCCAAGAATGATATGGGTAGGTACCTCTCCCTTCACTTTTTTCTTGATTTGTGAGTATAATAAAAGAAAAGAATAAGTTTTTTTTTTAAAAAAAATAATACTTCAGTTATTGTCTGTACTATATAAGCGCGTGACAGTAAGAGGGCATTTGGCTAGATAAAAGTTGCAGCTTTTATGTTAAATTTTCTTGGACAGACAAAGTTGAGGAAGAGAGAAGACTTTTGTAGATAGAGATAAATCACAAAGAAAGAGATGGAAGAAGTAGTAGTCCTTTGATATTTGCTTTTTAGGCTTGTATTATGTGGCTTGTGTTTTGGGAGCATTAAAGAGGTAGACTTACAACTCTCTGCAACGCCGCCATGGCCAAAAAAGCAGCAAACGTCTCTCTCTCTCTCTCTGCTCTTTCTGTTCTGCAAAACACACACACACACTAATTTAAGTTTCTACATACACAGGGCCAGTGCCAGTACCATTCTCCCTCTATAAACAAACTCACACTTAAAATCGATCGGTGGTTGTAAAGTGTTTTTGTGCTTTTACTAAGCTAGTGTTCTTTCTCTCTCACAATTACTTACTTATCATCCTATGGTTCTAAGACAAATAAAATTCCAATCTGTCGGCTATTCTTTTGACACGCGTCGAACACTCAGCAGTTGCTTCCTTTGGCCTTTGTACCTCCAAAAACCTCCTGCTTTATGTCTCTATCCATTTAATTGTGCGTTAATGAATACAATAAGATAGTTTATCTTCTTGTTCCTTTCATTTTTTGTTTCCTAATTACCATGCAATTATGCCCTTAAATTTTAGATTAGCATATCACATACTTACTAGCTTCTCAAATATTTTTTACTGAAATTAGGATGCAAGTTTTAAAATGCTTTATTATTTTAAATATATTTCACTTTTTTTTGTTTTGTAAAACATGAAATATTCGTAAATTTGACATAAAATTATTATGAACTAGAAAATACAATATTCTTAAATTATAGCTTGATACTATTATTATACTTTAATAAAAACTAATATAATACAATTAATAGCTACTACAATTTTTCAAATGAAAATTATTTACGAAGATCTATAGGTACAAAAAAGTAAATAAATATAATGATATTAACTAATTATTTTTTAATATAATCATCCAACAAACAATCTCTTTACAATCAACATGCATTTCCAGATCAAATGACCGAAAAATGATACATGAAAATTAGTTGGGATAATAAATAAATGGTCTTCTAATTTTTATAAACTATAAAATTTGGGATAAATTTAAAAAGAAATCTAAGGATAGGCCCAAAAATAAGTGTTTAGACGAGCATTATATTATTTTATTTTTCCAGTATTGTAATATATATTCATTCCATCCCTGTATGTTTTTGGGTCCATTTGGTTCACAACTTCACATAGTAATAATACTGAGATTATTTTGTTATAAATTATTTATGTAAAAACTAACAATAACAGTTTTTTTATTAAGGTTACTAACAAAAAAATATTGCTATTCTAGAATGATTTCTCACACTTATAAAATTATGTCGGACATATTTTTATTTTTGTTGTCACTAATATTTAATTTTTATGTTCTCTTCTTAAAGAATTAATTTATTCCTGTTTCTATCTTTCGATCGGCCACATGCATTTCATTAATGTCATTAAACTTCTTTAAATTATATCGTTCTAAAAAATATAGGAAAAAGATATTTGTCTACTCTGTTTTAGGCTAGTCTTTTCCATCTTTTTTTTTCAGATTTCGATAACGATTCTTCATTTTTCGTTACAGCTCTTCTTCTGTTAGTTACATACTTCTACTTTTTCTTTTGGGAAAAAGACCAAATACACTCCTTAACTTTGTCATGAAGAGTTGATATTAACTTAATATATATCTTTACTGTTATATAAATGACTCACCTATACCCTTTTCTTCTAACGGAAGTGAAAAACTAAATTTTAATTTAATTTTTAATTATTTTAAAAAATATATATATAATCCCATATGGGTATATTTAATCCTCCTCAAACAAATTTTTTTAACTTTTTTTATTTCAATGACTAATTTAGATTTATTATTTTGATGATCAAATTTATTTATGTTTCACTAATATTCTTGTAAAATTTATTATAAATGACCTAAATTATTATTTTTTAAATACAAAAACTAAATTACAATATAGCTGAAAAAATAGTTTTAAATTATAATAGTCACAAAAAATAGTTTAATTTTTTTTCTTTACACTAAGGAATGAAAGAAAAAAAATAAAGTAAGAAACTCAAATAATGATAATCAAAGAAGTCAAAAAAATAATTTATGTATGAAAAAAGATTAAAGTATACCTTTTTGGTTTAAAAAAAAGATTAAAATATACCTTGAACTTTGCAAGAAGGATCTCATATACCTCTAAATGATTTTAAAATTGTCAAAAATATAAATTTAAAACTAATTTTTCATTTCCGTTAAATGAAGGGTATATGTTAGTTCATTTTGTAATGGTAGGGGTTTATGTGAACCACTTTCATAACGAGGAGCATATCAGCTCCAAATGGCAAGGTTAAGGGGTATATCATACGTTTTTTTCCCTTTTCTTTTTAACTTTCTGAAAGCTAAAATAATAAAATAGTTGAATTAAGGAGAATATGATTAGAGTCATAGTGCACAAAACATGGGAATATAATTTTATTTTATGTAACATATATATTGAACTAAAGTGAATGGGATAGTTTGTCCACTGGTAAAAAAATTGTTATAGCTTTATTTCACTAAAGCTTGAAACATTACAGTGGATATAAGTTTAGCTCATGCATATATGCTTCAGATCATTACTTTAAAAAAAAATTAGTTTTTTTCACTTAAAACAGGAAAAGATAATTAAAAAATTAACATAAGTCGCAAACATGTCTATTTGTAGTAATTACGACTAAGCAAACCTAAAATATGTAATGAATAAAACTTACTATCAAGTTTAGAGGGATCAAAAGGTATTTATGTCAATTTCAAATAAATTCTTTTGTTTAAATACATGACAGAAAAGAAAAAAAAAGTGAAATATGTCGGATCAGAAGTCCATGACTGGTAGGGATGGCAATTGGGCGGGGGCGGACGGCACGGATTTATCTTAATCCGCAAATTTTTTAATTTATTTCGCTTCGTTCCGCATAACATTTTTTTTTCATTTTCAACCCGTCCCACCCCCACCCGGATAGACCCGTCCCCATGAATTTGCCCGCATAATTTTTTCCTTATATATTTTTTCTAGTTAAATTTTATATTAAAAATAAGAGTCATAAAAATAAATTCATTTTTTCATTAAGTTTTATTAATTTAATAGATAATGACTTGAAAAAATATTTTTTTGATGTGAATTGGGAACACGTAATAAGTTGTATTATTTTTTGTTGAACCATTCTCATTTACTATCTTGAATATTTTAGTATCTTTAAACAAATTATTTTAATAAATAATGTTATATCACTCTTATAACCGCATTAATTTATAAAAAAACGCACTCCAACTCACCCCACATAACCTTAACCCCCCCCCCCCCGCGACCAGCCTCGAATATTCTTAAACTCACCCCACCCCATTGCCATCTCTAATGACCAGCGCTTATCACCAATTCCCTTCGTCTCATTTTCTTTTTATTACGTTTCAAAAAGGAAGTTACATTTTTATAATTAAAAATTAATCAAGTTTACAATTTTATTTTTATTCTTTCTCAAATAGAATGTCATTTTTTAGAAATTACAAATAACTTAACTTAAAAATATCTTTTACCCTTAATGATGACATTTATATTCAGGTAAATAGCTATAATTTGTTTTAAATCACTAATTTTTTTAACAAATTGTGTAAAGTAAAATGATATTCCCTCTATTTCATATTAACTGAATTTATGAGAAATGAACAATTATTTAGAAAAACATTTAATGTCATAATTTTAAAATCATACTTTCTACTTTTGTGAAATCATAAATATAACTTAGCAAATTGTGCAATTTATCTCTTAAAGGGTAGCAAACTTTATTAAAGAAAACTCAAATATATATATATAAAAAAAATTCAAATTCATCTTAGAACTTTGAATAAATCAATTATTTTAAACAATAAAAATAGCCCCAAAAATTCAATTAATATTAGCTATGTCCAACAATAGTTGTCCACTATTGACTTTGCACACTTGTTAAAAAACTATAAACAGAAGGTAATTTTACTATAATTAATACTCCCTCGGGGGACGGAGGGAGAGTAGTTAGCGCACCAATTATATTCATTTGTTTATCCAGGGCTCGAACTTGAGATCTCTAGTTAAGGATGAAGCAATTTTACCTCTACATCACAACCCATCTTGGTAAAAGAAGGACTTTATTATAATAATAACTAGATACACATGTTTTCGTTACCCTTTGGTACAAATTATTTTGTTTTGATACTTTGTTTTAGTAATTCTAGTATACTATAGTTCTTATTAAATTAAATCTATCACAAAATATTTTTGTCATAGAGTAGAACTTGTAATAATGTTCTCCACGTAATTAAACGGTCTAAAGGATTGCAAGAAATCTTTAAAAAGTCCAGAAACTTCGGAGAAGTAATCAAAAACGGATTTAATTATATTTTTTTATCACCAAAAACCATTTAAACCTATAGTTTTATTTGAGTTAGCAAACCTCCACTTAATTAACGCCTATATAATTTTTTGATTAATTGTGCATAGTATTAAAAATGCTGCAATAATGAGGAGTAAACAGTGTAGTATAGAGATGATTCCATCAATGTTTTTCTTTTCCCCCTATTTCCGGAGAAACTTTCAAATTTTAATAATTGTTGTTTTCACGAGTGACTTTGAGTGGACCATTTTTAATGTTGCACAAAGGAAAATGTATCAATTTTTACTAGTAAGTTATATTACTCCTTATCTTTTTTCTATGTACAATAATATTACTAGTAGTATTATAGATTGGGATTTTCCACGCTTTTGTAGTTTAAATAAGTCAACTGTAAAGGGTACACAAATATGTAGACGTCTATAAATTACACGAAATAGTATGAAGTAAATTTATCTACATAAGACATGAAATATTG